TCCTAAGTATTTTATTCTTTTAATACTATTATAAACGCAATTGTTTTCTTAATTTCTCTTTCCAATAGTTCCGTGTTAGTATATAGATAGGCAACTGATTTTTGTATATTGATCTTATATCCTACAACTTTACTGAACTCATTTATTGGTTCTAATAGTTTTTTGAGTCGTGTGCCATTGGCTATCAGAGCCAGGTGATCCCAGGGACTGTCCTCTCAGGCAGCTGCCGCAAAAGCTGGGGCGCCAGATGTGTACAAGCTCCTTGCAGAGAGATGCTGGCCACCTGGTGTTATCAGTGGAGCAAGCCCGTGGGAGAAGGTGGGGCAAGTGCCCACTGGCTTCCCCCCGGCTGCCCGGGAGAATCACAGCCAGCTCCGAGATGAGTGCTAAATTAGAAGCCTGACCCTCAGGCAGCAGCTTGTAAGGTACGCAGTCAAACCTCTTCCAGGGAAAGACTGGGGGATGGGTGTTTTTTGCGGGTTCCCTCTGCACTGAGCCCTGGGGGGACCAGTGGTGACTGCTCACTCCCTGTTAAGAACTGCTGCTTTCTTTGCTATCGTCCTGTTGGTCTTGTGGATACAAGCCCCATTGGCTTTCAGAGCTAAGTGTTCTTGGGGGCTCGTCTCTCAGGTGGGAGTCTTAAGAGGTGGGGTGCTAGATATGCGATCCAGACCCTTCACTCTTGAGGGAGAAACTGGGAGTTGTGAGTTCTCTCCCAGTTGTACGGTGCTGGGCCAGGGGTGGGTTTTAGGGTGAGAGCGTGTCTCAACCTTTCCTACTTGTTTCGATGTGGGTGTTTTCTTATTTGCCTGATGTATAGGAGTCACTCAGCTAATTTCCCCTCTAGGAGGTTGTATTAAAGGATGAGAAAAATCTATGTGAAGAGCCAGGGAAGGCAGGAGAATAAGAATGTTTCAGACTGAGGGAGTTGCATGAGCAAAGGCCGGGAGATGGGCAAGAGCTTAGCATAGTCATTGTTCTGAAGGAAGATCAGCCTGTAGAGCTGCCCTCCTATGTAGCCGTTGAGCACTTGAAATGTGGCTAGTCTGAATTGAGAGATGCTGTAAATGTAAAATACACCATGGATTTCAAAGACTTACTATGAAAAAAAGAGCATAGAATACCTCGTTAATAATTTTTTATATTGTTTCATATTGAAATAATAGTTGTGATGTATTGTATTAAAAATATGTTATTAAAATCAATTTCATCTGTTTCTTTTTACTTTTTATTGTGGCTGCTAGAAAATTTTACATCTGTGGCTTGCATTATATTTCTATTGGACAGAGCTAGTCTAGAGCATAGGTTGGTAAACTGTGGGCTGCAGGCCACATTTGGCCTGCAGTCTGTGTTTATGTAGCTGAAGCACTAAAAATAGCTTTTACATTTTTAAAGAGTTGGTTTTTTTTTTTTTTCTCCCTTGCTGGCCGCTTGGAGTTTATTTTGTACTTGTGCAAAAAGCACCCAGTTACAGGATTTCGGGAAGGCTCCCTGTGGCTTGGATAGTGAATAGCCGGGTTCTGTCAGTTTCCTTTTTGGTGTTTTGCCCAACTGCATCTGATTGCTGCAACCTGCCTAGTCTCCAGGCCAGGCGGGGAGGGGTCAAGGGCTCTGACGCACCTGTCACCTCCGGAAGCCCCGTGGCTGGTGGTGGCCACTCGGGACCAGGTTCCATGTTGGTTTTGCTGGGCTGGCTGCCAGGCTGCTTCCTCGTGGCTTCCTGGCCAGGTAACCAGTGATCATGCTGCTGGAGGCGTGGGGAGATTCCGAGTGCTCTGGGGGCTCCAACCCCTTGGCCATGAACGGGAGCATGGACTTCCTGAAAAAGAAACTCGCCCACCAGGGCCCCGGGTCGGCCTTGGGGAGACAGGGGTTGGGGAGATGGCTTGCCCGGGGTACTCGGCACTTCCGCAGGAACTGTCTGTCCCTGGGAGTGGAACCCAGGCGGCCCCAGCAGTAGTCATGTGTGGTAGTGGTTGTGAGGCGCCAGGAGCGAGCCACTGGAGGGGATGGCTGCCATGCCCTTGCTTGTGGCCTGGTGGAAACCTCGGTGCACAATCATGGGCGGCAGGGTGGCTGGAATGGTGCCCTGGGCCACGGAGCACATTTGCAGAGGAGACCGCAGGAGGCCACTCCACAACGGAGACCCCGTGGAGTCTTAAAGAGTTTTTAAGAAAGAAAAAGTCTAAGAAGAATATGCAACAGAGACAGTATGTGGCCGAAAAAGTCTAAAATATTTACTGTCTAGTCTTTACAGAAAAATATTGTCAACCTCTATAGAGTCTAGAGCAACTTGAGAAAGCAGAGCGGTAGAACAAGACAACAGAGGAAGGCTGGGTCCGGATCATAAAGGGCATTGTGGACCATCATAAGAAGTTTGGGGCCGGCCCCCTGGCTTAGCGGTTAAGTGCACACGCTCCGCTGCTGGCGGCCCGGGTTCAGATCCTGGGCACGCACCGACGCACCGCTTCTCCGGCCATGCTGAGGCCACGTCCCACATACAGCAACTAGAAGGATGTGCAGCTATGACGTACAACTATCTACTGGGGCTTTGGGTGGGGGGAAGGAGGATTGGCAATAGATGTTAGCTCAGGGCTGATCTTCCTCACAAAAAAAAAAAGTTTGCATTTTATTATAAGAGCAATGGGAAGCTAAAGAAGAGTTTTAAGCAGGAGAGTGACATCAGATTTCTATTTTTAGATGATAATTGTCTGTGCACGTACATACACACACACCCATATACATACTCCTTAAACATCCCACCCCTGGGGCTTATCTGGACTAAAGAGCGTCACATTCTTGCTTTATCAAAAACTGTCACAGGAAGAGGCTGTTGAAGGAGGGTGGTTAGCCGTTTTACACCACACCCAGAACTCTGCATTGTCATCATAATCACATTCTCATCTTAGCACTTAATGTGTGCCTGGCATTTTCCAAGCTGCAGGCCTTATCTTGTTGACTGTTATTTTGTTCCTTCTTCTAAGTGGGTATATTTCTCTTGCGTGATAGCAAGGGCAGGGAGAACAGGGTGAGCAGGAAGCCACCTGAATGACCCCATTCCCAAGGCCAGCTTACCACGAGTGCAAGCCCAACCCAGTTTCAGTCCTTGGCTTCCACTAATAGTGATGTGGAACTGACGAGGCCACTTGGATGTGCAACCTCATGATTTATTAACTCCATTGACCTGAGCAGAGCACTTGAAGAAGCAGCCAGTCTGTAGCACTCTGGAAGTTCACAAACTAGCAAGCCTGGGGTTGCCTACTAGTCAAACCTCTGCCTGTTTTTTCCTTCTGTAGGTATCTCCCAGATCTTTTACTAGTGCTGGGAGAGTCTGTCTCACCTCTGGGGTCCCACAGTATAATCTGCTTCTGTTGCTGAAATGAGACTTGTCTCTCAACTTCCTTGAATTACTGTGTCATCATACTCTATAGAGAGAGGTTTGGTATTTTACACAACTCTAGTGGGCAGGGTTGGCTGACTGCTGTAATAAACAAATCTAAAAATCATTAGTGACCAGACACAGCAGTTTATGTATTTCTCACAACACAACCCACTCTAGGTTGGGAGGGTCCTGGGAGGTGAGCAGTGGGAGGGACCTCTGCTCCATACAGTCATTCAAGGACGCAGACTCCTGCCATCCGGTGGCTCCACCCTCCTCTAGATCACCGAGACTGTCCATTCAGCTGGCAGATGGAGAAAATGAAAGTCGAGAAGGCACATCTGCTCTCAACCACCTTGGCCCAGAAGTCATACCCATCACTTTGCCCACATGTTACTGACACATGACCCTGGTCACATGACCTCACTTGGAAGAAGACAGGTCTTTCTGTGTGCCCAGGAAGGGGAGAACACGGATATGAGGGCACTGGAGACTGCACCCCAACAACCTTTATGGTACCTGGGCAGTTCTTCCTTCAACTGACACGCTAGGCAGTTTTCCTCCAAATGTGTGCAAACCTTACCATGCTTCTGAGGTAAGAGGTTTACCTTCTTTTCTGTAGATACCATTTTGTTTTGCATTGACGTTACTGCTGTTATACTGGCTTTGTCCTTTTAATTCTACTTTTTGGCGCGAGTCTGTTTTCCCTCAGATCATTAAGCCTACTTACTCCTAACACGTTACTTGAATTTGTACATATGGATTTATTTTAATGGCATTTTTACTCTGTGCCTGACCTCAGGCCTGCACTCTGAGACATCGTGTCACGCAACATTCCTTTCTGGACCAGGCTGGGGACAGCTGTCGCCTCCATCTTCATCTCTGCCTACCCCTTCCCTCCCTCATTGAAAAGCTGCTCTTGGGTCTTCCTTCAGATAGTTCCTCCCTCCCAAAGTCTGGGCTCCAGAGTTCACTGGCATATGGGAGATCCTTTCTCTCGCTGGTTCCCATGGTAGTTCTGTGAAAAATAAAATGGGAGAACAATCAGAATTAAATTAATATACAATGTTAAATATAGTTGCATGAGATTAGAGAAATAAGAATGGAAGATCTTGACAAAGACGTTTTTGGAAATCCTAAATATCCTTTTCTTGTTTGAGATGTGCAGAAAGACAGGGTTTTCAGAAATTGCTATGCACAGTTGGTCAACAAGTACTTACTATGCACTTACGTTGAAACTTACTCTACATGTGTATTTCCTTTGTGTCAAGACTTGCTTTGCATTTATTTTAAGAACCTGTGTCTATGTTGCTGCTGAATTGATATAATGATTTTATTAGCCTACCTGGTGATTTCCTGGCACACTGTAAACCCGACTGAGGATCCGTAGGCGGGGAGACTTGGTTGGCTGCACCAAGGTTTTATTACTCATAGAGATGATAAAAGAATCCCAGAAATCATTAACAGAGACCACCAAAGAACAGTTTACTGGAGAAAATACTTGCAAGTCTCTAGTAGCTACACAGCCTAGAATTAGAATTTCTGGTTTGATATGTGCAAAGTTCCATCCCTGGGTTTTTTTTAACGCTTCTTTACCATTCTCTACTTCCTCTCTCTTTAGGTTTGACTTGTGCTGATTTTGGCCTGTGTTCCAGGATGGTTTGTTCTTGGGACCAGACCTGACCGGAAGTTGGCCTCATGAGCATATCAGCCTCTCCAGCTGCCATGCTCCTCCGGAGGCTGAGGCGGCTGTCCTGGGGCAGCACTGCTGTGCAGCTCTTCATCCTAACGGTGGTGACGTTTGGCCTGCTGGCCCCCCTGGCCTGTCACCGGCTTCTGCACTCGTACTTCTATCTGCGCCGCTGGCATCTGAACCAAATGAGCCAAGAGTTCCTGCAACAAAGCTTGAAAGAGGGTGAAGCTGCCCTCCACTACTTTGAGGAGCTGCCCTCCGCCAATGGCTCAGTGCCCATCGTCTGGCAGGCCACCCCCCGCCCCTGGCTGGTCATCACCATCATCACCGTGGACAGGCAGCCTGGCTTCCACTACGTCTTGCAGGTGGTGTCCCAGTTCCACCGGCTTCTTCAACAGTGCGGCCCCCAGTGCGAGGGGCACCAGCTCTTCCTGTGCAACGTGGAGCGCAGCGTGAGCCATTTCGACGCCAAGCTGCTGTCCAAGTACGTCCCAGTGGCCAACCGCTATGAGGGCACTGAGGATGATTATGGCGACGACCCTTCAACCAACTCATTCGAGAAAGAGAAGCAGGACTATGTCTATTGCCTGGAGTCCTCCCTGCAGACCTACAACCCAGACTATGTCCTGATGGTGGAAGACGACGCCGTTCCAGAGGAGCAGATCTTCCCGGTCTTGGAGCACCTTCTGCGGGCTCGCTTCTCCGAGCCGCATCTCAGAGATGCCCTCTATCTAAAGCTCTATCATCCCGAGAGGCTCCAGCACTATATCAACCCAGAGCCCATGCGGATCCTGGAGTGGGTCGGCGTGGGCATGTTGCTGGGGCCCTCACTAACCTGGATATACATGCGGTTTGCCAGCCGTCCGGGGTTCAGCTGGCCGGTCATGCTCTTCTTCTCCCTGTACAGCATGGGTCTGGTGGAACTGGTGGGCCGGCACTATTTCCTGGAACTGCGGCGGCTGAGTCCTTCCCTGTACAACGTGGTCCCTGCTTCCCAGTGTTGCACCCCAGCCATGCTCTTCCCTGCCCCTGCGGCCCGCCGGACCCTCACCTACCTGTCCCAGGTGTACTGCCACAAGGGCTTTGGCAAGGACATGGCCCTGTACTCACTGTTGAGGGCCAAGGGGGAGCGAGCCTACGTGGTGGAGCCCAACCTTGTGAAACACATCGGGCTCTTCTCCAGTCTGCGATACAACTTCCATCCCAGTCTGCTCTAGCGTGCCAAGAAATGCCTTCCTGAAGTTGGCCACTTCTTGGACCAAAATATTGAGCTCTTTATTTGGACATGATTGCTTGCAGATATTTCACTGTTTAATGTTGCTAGGGGTATAGGCACTGGGACAGCTGAGGAACATACTAGTCAAGAACCTTGGGCTTGGTAACGCTCTGGCAGGAGCAGCAGTTCACCACAGGTCCGGACCTCTCTCCCTCCACACAGCCACACTGCCTCATGCAGTCTGACCCGCCCAGCGAGGGGGCATTTAAATACTAGCTGTATTCTCTAGTTGTTTTCAGCTCTGCTTTCTGATAGAGCTTGTGGCTGCCAAAAATATTGTGCACAGTGATATCACTGTTTTACGATTTTAAGGGTAGAATTTGGTGAAAGGTGAGATCCTTTTGAATTGATTTCTTTCTCCTTGGGCATGAGAATGGATGTATGTTTAGAATATATGTCCAAAAATACGGGACCATGTGGATAGATTCCATTTGTTTCCTTGACCTGGTGTGATGAAAGCTGTGCAATGCCCAACTTCCTGGAGGCAGGAGATCTGGCTTCTGTTACCTGGCGTTTTCTTTTCCACACATCTGTAGTGCACTGATAATCAGTATTGTTCGTGAGAACTTTAAGCAAGATCTGGAAGTGCCTTCTGGATCATCAAAGTCAGATTGCTTATGTTTTGTAATGATTTAATATTGAAGATTTCTATCACATTCTGATTCTTTGAAAATTGGACATTGCAGAATGATATAGAATGAGTGAGCTCTTTACTAATAGCAGATCCTTTCCCCTAACTTTGCTGGCTAACCATTCATCCTCATTTCTTTTTCTTCTAGGTAGCATGATGTCATAGAAGAAAAAGCGTGGCCTGTGAGGTCGGAAGACCTGAATTTTTATTTCAGTTTCTGCCATGTCCTAGTGGTTGAACTTGGGCAAGGCATAACCACTCTGAGTCTCAGTTTCTTCACCTGTGAAGTGGGGATGGTGATAGATACCTTTTAAAGTTCCTTGTGGATTGATTGACAGGATGTACATAAAACGCCTAGCAAGTGCCTCACCCATAGAGGACACTTGGCAACTATTTGTTCTTTTCTCTCCTGTAGTAAGTATATAAAACTCGAGTGTATTTTGGATAAAGATGTTAGTGATATTGCTTAAAGTATGAGGTAGGGCGTAGGGCTGACACCTGTGGAACAGCTGTTCCAGACCAAACGCTGCTAGAATAAAGGCTGACTTTTCATTTTGACCTCTGAAGGATATGCAGCTCAGCTTTCCCCCAAGCCACCTCCAACCAAGCCAAAAATAAGAATTGTTCGTTCAAACTGGAAGTGATCTGAGACTCCTCTTGAGCTTGTTCCAAGACTAGCATCGGAAAGTTACTTTTCTCAAAAGTTACAAATAAATGTCCTTTGATGATACTTATCAAACCGGGGCCAAGAAGTCCCTTGATGAGGATGGATGGTCACATTAGAGTTCAAGCAGTTGGTTTGCTTTTAAATTTCCACAGGGAGCTTCTGTTTTGGGATCCATCTACTCAAGAACACCAAAGGAGGATGTGGGAGTTCATCTCCACATTTTACAGATGAACAAACTGAGACCCAGAGATGTTAAACGACCTCTCCAGGTTCAGCAGGAGAGCCGGGACTGGGACATAGCTCTTCTGACTTCCAGCCCTTGCACTTTATTTCCTAACCACATTAATTTTATAAATATCTATGTAGTCAAATTCTCTTTTGTAAAATCTGATTGTAACCTGGACTAAATAATGTCTCTGTTAAGCTAAGAGGGCAGAAACTCATCGTCATGTTGGTCTTGGGGAACGAACAGGTATCGGTCGGTGTTGTGTTGTTATGGTGAGCTGTATGTGTCTTCCAGGAATGTCCAAAGTGATCAGAGCCACTAGATGACTTAGTAAGTTCAGACTCCACTCCTTTGTTCCTTCTCTCCCAGTAATTGGTCCACGCCCGTGTTTGAGAACAGTGCTACCCCAACCTAGAACGCATTAGAGTTTGTTGCGTTAATGATTGGGTCTCCTCATGAAAATTTTTTGCCCAGTGACAGGAGAGCCACATCTAAGCTAGCCAGGCCCAAGATAGGGAATCATTGCTGGTTCCCATTTCTGCCCTTTCTAATTCGGTTGTCTAATTCAGTTGTCTACTGCGTGCAGACATCCCCTCCCTGGCTCCTTCATTCTGGATGGCCAAGGCCATCTTTGCCTTGTCTGATTTCTCTCCCTACACACTAAGACGTCTTCCCCCATTGATCTTAACTAGTCTGCTGTCCTTGGATATTTTCTGCAGATGCAGGCTCAGTTTTGCCCTTTTATCCCCTCGCACTTCTAGATCTTCTCCTCTGTCTCTCATTCCTTAGAGTCTAATTTTTGTATATTGTCTTTGATTAGGACAGCTGGCAGCTTTACACCAAAACTGAAGTCTCTTGTTTAATCCTAAACAAGGGGGCTAGAGGAGAACTGAAGTCCCCTTCCCATATCAAGGGACATGGGTTACCAGCGGGTGAAGGTCTCTAACAGTCCCGCTCGCCTTTCAGAGTTTAAATTATAGTCAGGCCTAAGAAGCTCCCGTTTCTGACTGAGTGTGTTTGCATAGACATATCAGTTAAAATAAAAGCACCCGTTCCAGTGAGGCACCCTGAGAAGACTTGTCATTCTCTCTTGTTTCTGTGGATGGATTTTTCAGACGTGGCAAATAGTAACACACACACACAGCCCCCATTGTGGAGTCCCAGGGTCGCCATTCAAAAGTATGGGCTGTTTGCTTCAAAATTCATAACTGATTTTGTTGTATTTTTTAAATGGAAACATTTGAATTGTACATTCTTTTTTGTTGTTGTTATTTAAAGGAAAAATGCTGAGAATACTACAGTGCGACTGGAGAACACCAATGGGATTAACATAATGATAGAATTAATCTAATTTACCTTGGATACGCTCATCATTTGGGAGAGTTTATTTAACTGTTAACTCAATTTGGGTGGAGAGGCATTCTAATTGGAGTTGATTACTGTGGGATTTTTATATACACTACGATGGGTTGTGAGTTATAGTAACATATGATTGTAAAATTGGGTAATTTTAAGTCACATGAACCCTTTGGATATTTTTATTCCAACTGGAATGAGTTTGCTGAGAAATGCTCGTTAACTGGCACTGTTTTTTTTAGGTTGGATTTTATTTGGAAAACCTTTGGGGCTGTGTCAAAGATGGTTGGAAATCTAATAGTCCAAGCGGCAAAAAAAGTACTTAATATGTTAGAATTGCAAAGGAGATGTGCTATAGCTCACAGATCACCCCAGGACTTGGATTGCAACATTGTTGTGAATCATCACTCTGCAATAAATGCGAATTTTTGCTTTAGAATTTAACAAATTTTCTTGATCCTTTTCCTAATGACCTACACAGAAATATGGAAGAATGAACTGATTTCAAAAAAAGCATCTATGTTAACAATTTGGGGGGAAAAACAGATGAAAGTCCAAAGGCAAATGATAACTTTATTAAACAAAGAACAGAATGGTATCTAGGAATGGGGTAGCTTTAAGATGTCAGAGAGATGGAAAAGAGGACAAAGATGTACAGTGAAGCAGAGGGTCTCACATTTGTCACCTGTTGTGTGTCCCAAACTCCGTGATGTGATAAATCTTTTATGTATGGCCCACTGTCATGAAGTCTCTATAGCCCTGTGAAGAATGCAAAGGAACTAAACGATGGATAGTCCGTGTTCTGGATAAATAATTCATTACTTTCCTGGGACCTGGCTTTCTATTGCATTTAGAATAAAATTCACACCCCTCCCTTACCTCCCAGTGCAGATGTGATCTGGCCCCTGCAAACTCGCTGACTTCATGTCTTACCCCTCCGTCCTCGTGCTCTAACCACACTGGTTTTCTCTCAGTCCCTTGGACTTGCTAGGCTGGTTTTTACTGCAAGGGCTTTGCACTGCCGGTCTCTCTGTCTGGAATGCCTTTCGCTGGGCTGAATCTTCCCTATAATTCAAGTCTCTACTCTGTTAATCCCCTCAACAGACCTTCCATCCTGTCTACAGCAGTCTTCCCCTCCCCGACCCCCAGCCCCTCTATCACGTTACCCACTTTGATTCCCTTCAAAACTCTTGTCGTTACCTGAAATTCCCTTATTTCTTATTTTGGGTTTTTTTCCTCCATCTCCGCCCCACAGAATATAAGCTCCACAATATCAAAAGTCTTCTGTTTCATTCACTGCTGTGTCCCCAGAACCTAGAACAGTACCTGACACATAATAGGAAATGAGAGAGAGACAGAAAGGAAGGAAGACAGACAGACAAAGAAAAGAGAAGGAAAGAAGGAAAAAGAGAAAGAAAGAAAGAAAGGAAAGACAGAAGGGAAGGGAAGGAAGAATAAAGGAATCCACGGTGTAGCTGCCTACAATAGGAGAAGAGAAATGGGACTAGGGGAACAAAGAGTGAGCTCCAGGTAGTAGGGTTGGTTATGATGTACAATTTTGACCCCTGTGAAAAGAAGTGTTGTACATGCATTGCAGGCAGAGCGAATGGCAAGTGCAAAGAGAACCTTTTGCACTGCCACACAGCGACTGTTTTCTTTGTTGTGGTGGTGGTTTTGTTTTCAGTGTGTGTGTGACGGGGTCCCTGTGTGTTACTCTCAGGGGAAGGCTGGGTTTTCTCCTTCGGGCTGCAACTACTGCATCTTTGTGGTGTTGCCAGTGGGCATCATCTAGACATGAGCACCACCCGTGGAGGCTGCACAGCCTATTCTAGGACTTTGAGGCCAAGAGGCCAGAAAAAGAGTGAAAGAATGATCCCCACACTGTCCCAGTGAACTTTCTCAAGTCATCTCAGTGAGTAGTGAGGGTTTAAGCCTGACCGTGTAGCTCCGGGTGGTAGGGGTGGCCTCTGGCAAAATATTATATGATTTAACACAAACCAAGAATAGAGAGGTAACCATTCCCAGAGGGACAGGAAGGGATGGGAGGACAGGAAGCTCTTTAACGATCATTTTTCTGGTAAGTGACTTTTAGTGTCTTATATTTTGTTAGTGTAGCTTTGTTTGAATGTGAGCAAGTTGAGTCCTCCACAAAACTTATGCACTGGCAACACGTCAGACAAAGGATGTACCCCACCTCAATTTGTTTTTATCCAGAAAAAGATGTAAACCTTGGCATTGCCGTGGCCCAGAGACCTGAGACCATGGTTACTTGTACAATCGGTTAACACACACTTTTGAAACACAGGTCAACCAGTCTGTGTAGATTTCTTTCTAGCAATATGTTTGGGCAGTTCCTCTTGTCCTTCTCAACCATATCCCTTTCCAGCCCCAATACATCCGCAATCCACAGCCAGCGGGGTTCAGGAAAAGAAGCCTGGCTTCCATCCAGGTCCCCATCCAATGAAGTCAATGGTAAAAGAGGCCGGATTCTATCTTCTTCCTGGAATGTACACATGGAGTATTCTCCCTCTTCTGAACAAGTAAAAGAAAAAGCATCTATATTTTTAAAGTTATTAAACAAGAATGGTGTTTGTCACATTCAAATTCTTAGTTTGCATGTTTTTCTGCAAGGAACTACATCAAACAAATTAATCATACGTAAATCTAAATTTAGCAGTTTTTCCCCATCTTCATGAATGCCTAAATCATATTAGCAATATTCATTCAGATGACTCACGCTTTTGTCTGTTTTAATCTAGCTAAACTATTAGCTGAAATGCCCCAATCTGCAGAAACACACTCCCATATTTGAAACAGAAAAGGCTTTGAAGAGATTAGAACCACATTATCTTTCATTTTACCAGTTAACACCAAAGGAAGAAAAGAACTGTTTCGGCCAAATTAACCCCTTATTGTCACACTTAAATTATTGTTACACAT